ACTTGAATACTTTATAAATTAATTAGCAAAAACCAAAAAGTGTCAAGTTGTGCCCACGTTCCCCTACAATGGGCACTACAGCTACATTTTTATTACACTGAAGTTTTAGCACCACAGCCTTTCGTGATTCAGACATGAGACACCAATTATGATTTACTAAAGTAAAATATTAATCTTACGGCCCTACCAACATACACAACACAAGGCCTGTGCATATCTTTATAACACATTCTTCATCATTCAGGCCTCATTCCAGTAGGAGAGGTGCTCTTCTACACAGGTCCACGCAATAAAGTCTTGCGTAAAGGCTACACAGACGGACTCCAAACTCCAATTAAATGGCATATCATGCCTCACAGTAAGACAATCACAAAGTATAGCTTAACCAGCATCATAAAATGAAGGCCAATAGGAATTACACCTTTTTTGAGAGACGAAACACAGACACTGTGTTACACTGTTCAATTATGTAGACGTCATAACAATAAGCCACCATACCAGTTCTAGTTATCTTTCTAGATGAGCCAGTCTCTCCAGCCGGCCACATCAGTGAGAAAGGATGCAGTCTATGCTGCCCTCAAGTTGAACTAGAATGAGACAATAATGGAAAGTACAATAGTGAAAGAACATAAACAACCCGCAAGCATTTTTTTTTAGCCTAATCACTATCTGCCACACCTGTAGCTTCAGCACGTGCCAATTGGTTTGTATTGAAAGTGTGATTTGCTTCAGTGGGTTTTCTGTACAGGGAAGGGTGTCAAAACTATTGCCTATGGCAATCAACCATACACTACAGATAAAATAGGTAAAGATTACAGTGAAAAATGCTGGAGCATTCCTTTAAGACATAATAAAGTGAAAGGCAAAGCTGAGATGAGTGCTTAAGAGCCCTAGCTGAATATCTTGACTCACCGTGGTGCAGTTTCTCCACCGGTTTCCAGAAATGCAAAGTTTCTGCATGTTCACATTAAAGTAAACTCAGCAGGCTGAAGAGCACGCTGTTAAACTCTGACCCACAAGCGAACATGTGCATTGCTCCCAGACCTAATCTGATTACGTGGACTTTAATAAGAGTCTGCACTTCCATTCATACATCTGCACAACACAAACATGAGTGCGCAGAGCGGAAGAGGCAGCTCATTCTAGGCTGACGTACAGCAGAAAGGCCATTTATCTGCACTGAGAGTGAGCGTGATTTATTCCAGACGTACGGCGACTGGAACTACATACCATGTTATGACCCAGATCCTCTTTTTTTGTCAGGTGAAACGGAAAACCCGATTTAAGAACGGAACACACCCTGCTGCAGGCGTGGGAAGCTTAGTAACACTACCATTGACTCAGGCATTCACTTACATACACGTTGAACTAGGGTGGTCTTCTCCTGGCCCAACTAGAAACATAACCTCTCTGAACACAATTGCTGACAAAGGACTTACAAATGCTAAGAGACTGAGGGAAGTACCTAAAATACTGCAAACAGAGGAGTGTTGGATCAAAAGTTTGTAGACACCTGGTCCTACAACATTTCTTAAAGGGAATTAATAAGGAGTTTGTCCCTCCTTTGATGCAGTAACAGCCTCTACTCCTCTGGCAAGGCTTTCTACTACATGTTGGGACCTTGCTGTGAGGATTTCGCTGCATTCAACTACAAAAGCATTAGTAAGGTCAGGTACTGATGTTGGACGATTAGTTTTGGATCACAAATGCCACTCCAACTCCTCCTAGAAGTTTTTGAATGAAGCTCCAGAGAACGCAGTTCCACTGCTCCACAGTCCAATGCTGGGGCGCTTTATACATCTCTAGTAGACGTTTAATACTGGACATGGTGACCATGTGCGGCTGCTCCAGAACATCTCATTCTATTGGCCATCCTTTTCTATGGAGATACAAGTTGTATGGTAAATTCCACCAATTTTTCTAAATTTCTGCACTTTTCAATCATTCATGTAAACAAACTAATTGAGAATAGTTTGATGTGAATTAGTGCACTGTAGAGAAACTTAGCAACTCATTACTTGATAGTGGTGGTAATAGGAACCAATAGTAGTAATATATTTATTTTTCTATTTCAAATAACCAGTGAACCATTGATGTGTTTTCTGAGTTTTATATGTAATGTTGATAATGGCAAAATAGTGGTTAATAAAAAAAAAAAAACTTTATCACAAAATTATCATAAAACAATTGGAATATCTCTAGCATCATGCAATTATATGTAAAGGCATTCTGTGAGGCAGCCTTTAAAATCTCTGGACATCTGGTTCCAGTCACCACTTTTGTGAAAAATTCGGACTGGTAAGTTTCTCTACAACAGCATATTTCACATTAAACCCTCTGAATGACTGTGTTCACATCTTAACAGTTTAATTATGCAGAAATTGTGAAATATCTGTGCAATTCCCCTTTAAAAGTGGATGCATTCATTAACTAAAAGATGTATGTGTGAAAGGTGGCTGTTTTCATTAGTCAGAAGGGCTGTATGAACATACAGTGTAAGTACAACAGGTGGATAACAATACACTTCTAGAAACTGTAAAACTGGATCTTGAGAATTACTAATTGTAGTCATATATATATATATACAGATCTGGCTGTGTATATATATATATATATATATACAGCCAGATCTAAGTGTTATTCTTGAATCATATGATTACGACTCTCTTGGAGCCAAATGCAGAGCGTGAAATAAAAATAGTGCACATAAAGTTACTGTCACTTTCAAATGATGGAAGGCCTGCCATCTACAGCTACAAGAATGTGGATGTGTGTGGTAATAGGGCGGTTCAGTAGTGAGTGGGTGTAAAAAGGCCAGCCTTAAGTTATGGCTGTCTGGACTAAGGAGGCACAGAGTAAGAAATAAAATTCCTCAGTGCAACTGTCTGTGGATAAAGCAGCCCCCTTCTCTTAAGTATGGGGGAGGTCATCCCATTAGCCATGTGCCAATCTGAGGCAGGAGAAGCAATTGTTTTGGAAGGATCCAGAGTGAGGGCCACAAGAACTAAACACTGCAGTTTGAATTATAACCTACATTAACATTAATTTTATAGATTTCGTTCTGAGCATGTATTCTCAGACACTAACTTCTCAGAAGCAGCAGGAGTGCCTTACCTCACAGGCTTCATTGACCAGATGGAGATTACAGCCTAACAGTTCAAAGTCCAGTCACAATGAGGATATGGTGAATATCAAATGACACACATAGTGAAAGATATGTCATAAAATGATGGCTTTTACATCCAAACAGTCCACTACAGGTCCAACAGGCAGCAGCATGTATTTCAGAATTCTAGCTACATGATCTGGAAAAAATCTGTTTTATGATGAATTTATCAAAGAAGGAACATCCTAAAATGCTTAACGTGGCTTAAAAAGATCATTACTTTCTTTTTGGATCACAAGTTCATCCTTTCAGCAGTGGAGAGAACTTATGACCAGCAGTAAGTGAGGGGTTTGGTGGTCCTAGGTTGTTGTTCAGTAGGCTACATTAGGCCATGCAAAGCGTTTTTACAATGTCCCATAAAAGAAACAAAAGCCAGGGACAATATTTGAGGTTATTAAATGCTTTGCTGACTTCTATCGCAAAGCAAAAAAAAAACTTTTCAATATAGTTGTAAATGTAATTTAGCACGTATCCCTCCTTATGGGCGACCCCACCCGCCCCCACAAGCCCCTGCAGTCTGACAGCCCATCACTATAACAACCACAGGGGCTTTTGGGGCAGTAACGCACACAATGCAACCCCTCCTGAGAAGATACCCCCTCCCACTCCTCCTCCTCTTCTCCTTAGCCAGCTAGCTTTCTAAGCACTAGCGACGTCCAAGCGTCCAAACTAACGTTGCTTCACACCTGCTCTGTGTCCATCACTGTAACCGTTTACCAGCTCGCAGCACAGAAGCACAACAATAAACCCCAACGTACCTTTCTCATACTTTTCTTGTCGATAAATTGAGCCTCTTCACACCAACTGCGTGGCTTCTCTCACTCCTGTATCAGCTGTATCTGCCATTGAACGCAAATATCCTTCAGAAAAAAGTCCAAGGTCCGCTGAAAAGATGAAAATCGTTCATCTCAACACGATGAGACAAAAACTGGTGAAAGTGAACCTACATTTTGAAACGGACCAAGGAGTCCATAAGGAGACAGACTGAGCTATCGACAAGCAAAAAAGTTGACGAATAAACACCTAAGAGCGTTGTTTATGTGTTAAAACCTCACAACATCGATTAAACAACAAAGAAAACAAGTAACGTTATCAAATTTCGCCCTCTTTTGTTTTCCTCACAGAGACAAGAAGGGGAAAAGTTCGTTGCTTCTCCAACGGCGACGTTGGTTACCCGTCTACTGCCATAGCAGCGGGAGACGCGACGCTATTGGACAGCATCGCTGCACTTGTTGCAGTGGAGTGTGGCCAGTAGGATCCCGCCTCCCGCGCTGTGATTGGCTAGTAAGATCTCATTTTCTGCGCGACGATTGGACAATAGTTCGTCTTCACATGCGGTCCGCCAATGGCGTTAATATTTTTTCCACCTGTATTGTGAAAATCCACACACTCTGAGCTTCATCTGCACACGCGCTTTCTTTTATCCTTTATCCATGGACCTTTCTTTTTGTGCATTTTGTCTTCAATGATTTTGTTACACTATGAAATGAAATACTGTTAGAAAGTCATTCTGTTGCAAAAATGTTAAAAAAGTAATGAAAAATAAGAGATATTTAAATATGACTGGGTGTTCACAAGTAAAACAAACAAATTAAATAAATACACAAATAAAATGAGAAATTGTTTAAATATTTGGCACAGAATTTAAAGGGGCATTTAGGTCTAAAAGTAGCATTTAATATGGAATTTGCCATGTCATACAGTATTCAGTCTCATTGGTTTGACAGTATTCATAATTTTTTATCCTTTTTGTGTATCGGTCAATCAATACCCAGCATGCATTACGCAAACACAATTTTTTATTTTGGCCAGAGGATCACGTTAAGCCAGCAAATAATAAATAATTCTGCTTGCAATAACTATAATAGTACATGTTTCAGGGAACAATGCAATTATTTTGTATTACAGTCTCTTGCTTAGGGGTTGGAAATGGCATCACAGCAATATAATCCAATTTAAATATGCAGTGACAGTTGATCGACACATCAAGCATTTTATTTCAATTTACAATAAACACTAGCCATGTAGTTTCACAATACAGCTCATTGTACACATGCACATTGGACCAATAGAATGATGTTGTGGCCTTTAAAATTGATGCATTTCAACGTTCAACATTTTTATAAGCTAACATAGTCAAGAGTTGATATATATGAACTGAAAGAATCTCATTGTAGCTGTTAGAATCAACCGATCAAACAGAGGAGAGGTTTTATTGCATCCCAGATCGTGCTGTCACTCGGCAAAGAGGAGGAACCCAGAAAAGGTTGTGTCATCATCATCATCTGCATAGAGTCCGTTGAAAAACTGTTCTCCAACCACCTGAAGCCACACCTTATCTCCAGCCTGCAGGTAAAGCACGGTGCCCCCTGAGGCTTGGTCCTCATTGTTCTGGTAGTTGTCCATGGTGTGAATGACGCTCTGGCCGTTCTTCATGAGGGCCACTCTGACATTTCTGGAGAAAACAGTGATATGGTAGGTGAAGTAATAGGCTCCGGTGATGGCGCAGGTGAAGCGACCACTTTGGGGGTCATAGTGATTCTGGCGGTTGTAGATGATTTTCTCGAAGCGGATGGGAATGTTACTGGCCGGTAGTTTGCTTTGTGCAGTCAGGCCAGCAGAAAAGGCACTTTTGGGTATTTCAGGCATGTCTCCTTTAGGCCCTCTCTCTCCAATCTCACCTTTTGACCCTTTGTCGCCACGGTAACCAATGCTGCCCTTGTGACCTGGAGGGCCAAGATCACCCTTAGGGCCTGGTCTCCCAGGAGGCCCTATTGGCCCCTGGACGCCTTTCTCTCCCTTATATCCAATGATTCCCTGTGGCCCTTCAGGTCCCAGAGGCCCCACATCCCCTTTGATACCCTGAGGCCCCGGCATTCCCATCTCTCCCTTGACACCTTTAAGACCAAGTGGCCCTGGGAAGCCTTGGGGTCCCATTTTACCAGGTGGGCCCCTCTCTCCATTCTCTCCACGCCGTCCTTTAACTCCATCTATGCCTGGAGCACCTGCAGAGACACCAAAAGATCTTCCCATTCAGGCAATACCACTCAACATTCAAATCTCCATTAAAAAGCTTGTAATCACAAAAGAAACATTATGATTAAAGGAAGACTCCAGTGTTTTTCATCCTAATTGGCAGCATCTGTAGCCTATATTTGATTACCATGGAGAGTTATTTCCTTGTACATAGAAATGAACAAATAATCTACTGACTTAACTTAAAGTGAACCTAAAATCAAAACTGACCATTTTTACCTTGTTAGTTTATGTTCTTGATGATGATAATCAATACTCATCATAGCATTTAAAAGACAGAATTCTTGTTTTCTTATAATCATCAATCAAAATGTATTGACTTTTGACTCTAAAACATCTGATTTTTGATTATATCTGATTTTTGTTTACATTTTGATTACATCAAAAATCAATTACAGGTTTTCAGTTCTTTTACTAAGTACGGGGAAATGCTTCAAAATTATTATTATGCCCTGTTACACCACAATTTGCTTTTACAAGTGGACATTGCCAGTATTCAAAGCTGCACTATATCAGTTTTGGGGATTTGGAGACCTCTCTGGTGGAAATATGCAATTGCACACAATGTGCACATTCCCTGACTTAAGTTGTGTGTCAGTCCCCCACAAGTGGATGAATCTGACGCATTGAAAGAGTATTCAAAGAGAACTTGGTGAAGGATGTGTCTTCTGAGGATCTGAATTATCTACTATTGTAAAACATGTCATCACACCTCTGAGCTTAAAATCCAAATTACTCAGTTTTTCTCTCCTGACTCAATAATGCTAATTTTTAAAATTTTAACAAACGAAATTACATTAAATTTTACACACGACTGCATGTTTTATTACAAAGACAGCATAATTAGTCCTGTTTTATTTCATTTAGTGCAACTCAGCATGTGATATCTCTGAATAAAATAAAATATATAATAAAATATTGATATTATCTTTTTGCCATATTGCCCACCTCTACCACAGACAGACATTACATTAAAAATGTTGTAACATTTTACTAGCTATACCGTTGCTTCCCACATATAAAATGCTATTTTGGAATGATTGAAGATTATGACATTTAATCACTCTGTGAACTGAACACTCCTTTCAGTTTTCAAATTTAACGTTATAAAATAGTGATTGACATGCCTTTCAGCCAATCACAGACGTCTCTAAATACTATTTCCTTCAGCAAATGCAGAAAAAACTCAAATGACAAAAAAACTCATAAGGCTGAATCTCAAATGGCACAATGTAGGGCTTGAAATAATGGCTTCTACACTCAAATACTGTCTTTTTTTTTTGACGAGAATTAATGAGCTGCACGACTCTTTAACATTTAGAGCTGTATTTAGGAGTAAAGGCCTTAGTTTCATAACCTGTGCAGTGCTCTTTGTAGTGAGTAGGGGCCATCTGAGATTCAGCCTTTAGATAGCACAACAAACCTGGAGTTAGAACAATGCTGGTAGTTAATTAGATTTATCAGGCTAAGAGAGGGTAAAATCGTTTTAAAGGATGGTGCTGTTTTTATTTTGTTCCTGAAGCTGCACATTTTGGATTAAACTCTGTGACCAAACTCACAGCTCAGGTTTAGTTGCAGTATTTGCTTGGACTCATTTTAATACCATTTCTAATGTTAATAATAAATAACAATACAAAACAGTGTTAACATTTCTTAGCTCCTCTGAGAGTTAAGAGTTAGGCTCCGTTGTTAGCTTTAGCAATAACTCCAGCGTTAGCTTCAGTATTAGCTCCAATATTAGCTTCATTGTTAGCTCCAGTGTTAGTTTCAGCATTAGCTCCAATGTTAGCTTCAGTATTAGCTGCAGTGTTAGCTTTAGCATTAGCTCCAGTGTTAGCTTCAGCATTAGCTCCAGTGTTAGCTTCAGTGTTAGCTCTATTGTTAACGTTAGCTCATCTGTAGGGATAGCTTGAGTCGTTCAAACATTCTGCTTAACCTAAGGATAACAGACCCCCCCTAAAAAAAACTAACCATTTCCTGTGTTTCAGAAATGTTGTTTAAAGTGCACAATGTTAATGTTATTCCTGAAACACAGAAACATTATTTCTGCCTATGACACTGAGCTAGTGTTTAAAATGTGAGTAATTTGTGTAATTATATATAAATCTACATAATATGTAATACAGCTTATGTAGTATTTTCTGACTTCTTTCATTAGTAACCTTGATTAGTTCAACTATTTGTTTACTTTAAATGTAGTAAGGTAAATCTATATATATACTTTGTGTTAAAAAGCTCCTTGATTATAATTAGGATATAATTTTTTTATGAAAATTATTTAATATTTTATGAGCCATTCATGCAGAAGTCCAGGTAGTTCAAAAACTTTCTCATGCAGCTGTGCATCCAGTAAACAACGTTCAATGCTTGCTTTGTCTTGTTACGTTGGCGCTTATAAATATGTTCATTTTTTAAAAGTTTTCAAATTTTATGTGCTTAAGTACAAATATCCAGCATACCAAACGTCGAATATTTGTTTCCCAGACAACAAAAAACAGTTCATATTTTATGTTATTTAGTATGCCAGAGGACAAGTTTCAAAACAAAACACTGTTGTCAGGTCTCGGACTGAGGAGCTTAATAGATGTGAAAATCTGCCGCTTTTGTATTCAGAGACTGAAAGTTTATTTGGTTTGATTAATGACACCATGGTTTTCAGAATTGTTTTTTGTTTGCTTTAAATTGGCAGATCTACCCCAAACATTTTGTAAAGACAGTTTACTTTTGAATGAAAAATGTTTCAGATGTGCTTGTAAATTTTCCTTTGTGCTACTGAACTTTTTAGTCTGTTAGCACGAGTGTTACAAGGTGAGACTTTTGCAAGCGGTCAATTGTAAAGATCTTTTTCAAACCCTAAAACCAAAGGTTATGTGATGATGAGAAATGATCAGAGATTTGACCAGGTTCTCCTTTGTCTCCTTTTGGTCCATCCTTCCCTGCTGCTCCGCATGTTCCAATGTCACCTTTGAAAAGATAAAAAAGAGAAATTTCAGGCCATTAACATCCTTTATTTCTTTTTTTTGTTTTTGGTTAAAATCTGTATAGAAGTATAAAATCTTCTTTTTTGTTCTATGGTGTTTTGTATTGTATTGAATAGACAAGATCAAGAGTTTTAATGTAGCTATTGTACATAGATACAAATGACGCTCTTTGGACATTTTGTCAGATGGAATTTCAAATACAACTGGAATTTTCTCACGGACAACTCTGCCATTCTCCTTTTTTTGTACCTGTCCGAGCTCATGCCTGGGTTCAAAGGTGACCTGACAGCGAGATTTAAAATCTTTCAGGTTTGGCTCTTTTCTCACCTGGATCTCCTTTGTCACCTTTGGCCCCATCTCGCCCGTCACGCCCTGGCATTCCATTATGTCCGGGGTTGCCTGGTATTCCGGGGTGTCCACACACACAGTCATCACTCTTTTCCCTCCTTCCAGAAGATTCCTGCTCTGCAATGTGGACCAATGCTACAAGGAGGAGGATGAAAAACTGTCTGGCAGATGACATGATCTGTACGATGAGGTATGACCTGGAGAATCGGCCCCAAAACCAGAGCATAAAATACTCCAGAAGTCAGTGAATTGCAGAGATGTGAAATATCTGCAACTTTGAGCATGTGATGACATCAGAGCATCTTAAACGAGAGTCTATTGGTCAGGCAGCTGTTACACAGGTTACTCATTTGAACCAGATTTGTTACACATCACCTGTGTCTCCTTGGTGAAGCAGTTCTTCTACATATTAGGCATTTAGATAATGATCAACTGGGAATGTTCACCTCAGTGACTAACAAACTGCTTGGGCACAATACAATATAACCTCTACTGTCCAACACAGAGCTAATATTAAACTGTTTTGGGGTGTTGCTATGACACCTTGGTCAGGGCTTACACTAGATTGCTTAACAGCAATTAGATTGTTAATCTTTGTTGGATACAGTGGAATAAATCTAGCCCACTGAGATGGAGCTCATCTGTGTTTTTGATTGTTGTTAATGCTCTGGAGTGGCTTTTGCAAAGGGATTGCAGTGTTAAGGTGACCATATGAAACTATGTACATTAATCATGACCATATGATCAGTATTGGCTGTTTTCTGAATGGCCACACTTCATGTGTGTAATATCCAATATTTTATACTTAATATTTCTTGATATTTCTGAGGGGATTAGATAGAAAATAATCCATCTGCATAAAGAAGGGAAAGGTCAAAGAAAAATAAGAGAAAAAAACAGCTTTCCAAAACTGGAGTTTAAAAAATGATTAAAAGACACAGAGAAAATGGAACTCTTAACAACTGTACAGACCGCAGTCTTGTAAGCCGCCAGAACTGTCACCATCAGATAAACAGTACTTAAAGCTTCATCTTTGAGAAAGAGGAGAAAATCAAGCTCCACTCTTGCTTCAGATCTGAAAAAATCCACAAATCTTTCTGTCCATCCTTCTACTGTGAAAAGATCATAACGCTATGGGTCTGAAAAGATGTTTAGCTGTCAAGAAGCCCTTTCTGAGAAAAGAAAATAGAGAAGAAAGAAGAACATTTGCAAATCACAGAAAAGAAGCTGCTGCTGTTCTCAGAATAATGGACGGACCAGACATCAACATCACTGAATGTGTTACAGAAAGTGCAACCAACTTCTAAGACTGAACTTTAGAAGTGTGGAAAAAATATTCTTACAGATTTCTTGACTGAAAGTGAATCTCCCAAAAAGAACAGAAGTTGTAATAAAGGCAAAGAGTGGACATACTAAATACTGAAATATTTGTAATTATATTTAGTTGTTTAGTGTTATTTTTTGTTAAATTATTGTAGGGTGTTCAATAACATGTTCATGTTTGGGTAAAAGTTCTGCAGCATTTACTCATCGGGTTTTCCATAGGACTTTTTTTCTGAAGATGGGGCAAGCCCGTAGCTGTGTTCTGTATTCTGTGTAGATTAAGAAGTACGGACAAAGAATATAGAAGCCCAGTGTAAGTTCTGTGGCACAGAATCAGTCCAAGGCTGACAGCTGAGAGAGCCGGACGTAGCTTAGGCTTATAGCAAACTTTTAGGCAGAACTCTCTTTATGTATGGCATGGCTGTGGCCAACGACAGCACTTTAAGAAAGCACAATGACTTGTGCATAAGCTGTGTCTTCTTTCATCGTAGTGAACACTACAATGAAACCACTGCTTAGGCCACTCAGCTTAAAGAGTATAAGCTATAAGCCTGTTCATGCGTGTTTAACTATTCTGTTTCTGCTTCAGTACTAAATGGCAATGGCTATTGCAAATGTGTTGACCGCACATATAATACTGTTCCCATTAATAGTGGCCTTTTCCACCTATATGCCATGCCCATAAATCGAGATAGCACAATAACTTCATTCACCTGCATGTTATATAATAGCTACTGAATAATTGTCTATTAAGATTGGTATATATAGTATTAGGACTATATAGCTGCCCTCTGTGTGGTGGATTGGGGTAGGATTCCGTGGCCGGGCTACACCATGCTAAGAGTGCTTGGGCAAGACTTTTGACATTTCATTCCCCCAACATCATTAAATTGTACATCGCTCTGAATAAGAGTGTCTGCCAAATGTTAAAGATAAAGAGGCAATTTATTCAACATTTTCATTAAACATCAGCAAAACCACTGAGCATTCAATGAAACAGTCACACACATGATAAACGCATATTGTATATCCAGTTTTGGTTTCCCATAACTCTTTAAATGCATTATTGGGACATTGGCACAGCATCGTAATTGCAGTAATAAATACAGAACAAAACAGAGGTATGATGTATATGTTACAACAAACATTAACATTTTTTTTAATACTGACTGTGTATAGAGAAAGTGGCAGCTGTTTAAATTTAATACTGGAATGATATATATAAATATTAAATAAAATACTAAAGTAGTAAAAAAGAACAATTTAAACATTGAAATGAAAATTAAATGGCATACATTAAGCATGCGAATAATTTATTGATTAACTTTAGACATAGAATTTTGTGACTTGGCCTCTGACAGTGAAAAGTGCTCTACCTCCACCACTGACTCCAACATTTGAGGGTCATAGAGGTGACTGAAGTGGACTCTGCTCTGTGTGGGCTGGGGCTGAATGAGATTAAGGTCTTCTGGGTGTTTGAGGCAGATTCTTAAACCTTGAGACTGGTTTACATGATCTGGCGGTGCATGCCGTACCCAGTCATGCCAGCCTGGGATGCCCCACGGTTGCTGCCCATCTGTAGGCCAATCAGGTTCTGACCCTGCCGCAGCTGTTCTTCAGAAAACTCCCGCCGGTTGCTCTGAGATTTCCTGCCAGTGGAGATCAGATAGGATCAGGCTTCAGAGTTCACATGACAGCGAGATATGAGGAGCCCACTTTCTGGTTCAACCAGACAGGATTTAGCACCATAGTTTGAATTTTCCCAGCTTAGAGAACTCAAAAGAATTGGGTTGCTCACCTGTGGAACCAGTCTCGGTTGCCACGGTAATGTCCATCATCCTTGGTGAGGGCCACACTGCCCAGAGCCATTAGAGTTCGTTGGACAGCAGCCATGTCCTTTCCTGTATTTAAGAAAAGGAGCAAAAATAGTGGTGGTAGTTGTTGTTTTTACCAAGACACTTAACAGTCATATTATGACAAAAAATCAGGGTCAGTAAGTGAAGAAACTGACCTAATGTTGCAAGAGCACATGGAAATTATACTCACTGGCCACTTCATTAAAACCTTACCTTGTTGGTCCAGTTTGTAAGTGTAGCCTATCTGTTTATGCACAGTTTGTGTTAGCCATCTTCTGGCCCCTTCGTCACTGTGCAGTTTCTGACCACAGAGTCGCTCTTCGATGGAGATTTTTGGGTGGTGCAAGAAAACTCTTAAACCAGCAATGACTGATACATTTGTACAAGCACCAATCAATGATCCACCATCCAAATAATTTATGGTGAACTGAAACTGACAAGTGAAGAATGGGGTAAAGGGCCACTGACCCAACAGATGGGCTACAGTCTGTAATTGTACACCAACATTGTGGACATATAGGGTGGGTGGACCTCAAGTGGACAGCAAATGAAAGAAAGTAGGGGTTTTCTAATAAAGTGGACAGCGAATGTTTGAATCAGTGTCCAGCAAGATAGGAAATTATTCATCTTTTTTACCAAACAGCAGGTCAGTTTGAAAGGGTGGGTGATAGGGTGGTCGTAGCATCATTACACTGTACCTTCCCATAAATCTACAGTCTGAAAGATGTCTGTGGTGATGACTCCGTAGGCCTCAGCTGCTTGAAGGAACTGTGATATTTTTTCCATCTGCTTAAAGGCCATCTGAGTTTCTTGGATCTTCTTAATGGGCTCCTTACCCCGCGGATACAGACTATTAATGAGTCTACAGAGGATCTGTACAGAGCAGCAAAGAATCCAGAGAACAGAGACAGCAACAGGGAATACATTACCACATTTCCTCTCAATCACTACTTGCTTCATCAAGTAGAGGAACCTTAAAGGCATCTAGGTATCATAACCCTATTTGGGGTAACTTCACAAATGTGAGAAACTCACAATTTCCATATTCGCTTTATTAAAGGCCCCTTGTCATGGAATTCTGTGTTTGAATGTCATGTGTAAACACTGTTAGAGTTTCAAAATGTACCATTCGCTCCCCAGTCCGTAGAGTCCATATATGGAAACTAAAATGCAAAAACAGTAACTTTTTTGCATTCACTGATTTTTATGATGTCACAAACTCTACCAATAGCAGTTTAGCCCTGCCCATTTATGATGAAGTAATAAGGAGTGTTTCAGTCCATACTGATTTTTCAATTGAGGAGCTATACAGAGCAGCTATTCAGAACAGAGGTCATTTACATAAATCAGTCACAATGACACAGTAACTAAAATAACATTACTAAAGGATAAAGCAACGGTTTTTGACACATGCAACTATGCAGCCATCCTAAGTAAACCCCTGGGAAAAAAATTAAAGACAAGAAAAATGTATGAGATGGGCTGTTCAGTTTATTTTACAGATTCACTATTAATTGATTAATTAATAGTTTAATAGATTAATTTGTGCGCTACAATTTTGAAATGTTCATACAAGCCACATTTAAATTAAGAGCCAATATGGTTCAAAATGGAAATGCCAGTAAATAACGAGGAGAAACCAAAATGCTAAAATGAGGAACAGTAATAAAAAAACAAAAATTTGTCACAAAATCAGTGTTACTGATCAACTGTTTAAATGTGACAATAATCTGAATTTAAATATTAAAAGGCCCGTATCCTATATTTTTCTTGTATTTTATTTTTTTCCTCTGAGGTTCACTTATAACATTTGTGTGGTTTTGTGCATTAAAATGGTCATAATTCATTTTTACGTGATGATTTACCAACCTCTCTTTATCCTTGACCATGTGCTCACTTGCAACAGAGCGACAGGTGACCAGTTATTTCCTTTGGAAGTAGGCAATTTGTAGCAGTGATGTAGCGGCTAGTGAAGTGGCAAATGCGTTTGAGAGCACTCTCATTTGAACAGGCTGGTTTTGTTACTGCGCCATTGTTCTGATTGGCTGCCCTGTATTGCGTCTTATTCCCAAAGAATTCCCTAGAATTGAAACACTCTTTATAACTTCACTGCGAATGGGTGGGGCTAAATAAAGGTGTATGAATGTAACTGAGCTTTGAGTTTTCATCACAGAATTCAAAATAGGCCGTTATTGCAGCTTAGTTTCTATATATTTGCTGTATGGACTGGGGCGTGAATGGTATGTTTTGAAAATGTTTACATATCACTTCAAACTCCTGTATTTCGAAAAAACAAAGGAAAGTTAGTTTTCCATGATAAAAAAAATGATCATGCATATTTAGGGTCATTCGCCCAATAAGTTAGGGAACCCCTGCTTTAATAGGTATACAACCATTATATTATGTGGAAGTTCTTTAAACTTTAAAAATGTTCACACTTGCACATCCATTGAAAGGTTTAGGCGATTCCTCTGAGGCATCACTCCAAAGAACCTTAAGAACACCTTCATTTTAATATGAATATCAGCGTGGTAACTCACAGTGCCATCCATGAGCCAGTTCTGGAAGTTCTGCTTCCCTGGCTGGGGTCTCTCCAGGTTGCCTCCACACTGTGCAACGATCCAGTCCACCAGCCGACTCTCCAGATCAGGATCGTACTTCTGCTCAATTTTCTCCTGAACCTCACGGCTCAGTCCATAAGTGGGGCCTCTGTTCGCCATGATCTCGTAGCTTTTATCACTCCCACGTAGGCTATTATCTGAAGACACGAATCTGTATTAACAGTCATCCATAGTCATGAACTCACTGCTGTTTTAAAGGGCCCATATCCTAATTTTATCTTGTGCTTTATTTTATTCCCTGAGGTCTTATAACATTTGTGTGGGTGATTGATTTTTACATGACAACTCTTTATGTTTTAAACAGGCTATTCTTACTGAGCCTTTAAGACTAATATATGTAAATGACTATTTTGATTGGCCCTGTTCTGTGTCTCATCTAGAAAGCGAAAGCACTACTTATAACTTCTACTTGAATGGGTGGGGCTGAACTGCTGTAGGTTGAATAGGTGAATATATATAAATGTGTTGATTTAAAGAATAAATTGAAAGTGGGCCCTTTGCAGCTTAATTTTCATAGACTGCGAAGTGAATAGCATAGAATATCAGTACTGAATGGTTCAAACTTTAATGTTTAAGTCTTTTATTCCAAAAAAAAGTAAAGAAAATGTAGGTTTTCCATAATATGGACCCGTTAGAAGTCAATGCTACATTTAATTTGACCCAAGCTTATATTAGTTTACATTAGGCATTACACAGTACACTCTCAAAACTGTGTTAAAAACATGATCCTTAACCAGATGCCTCTGTATAATACATGGCATAAATAAGGACAAATACGATAGATATTGAGATAGATTCATGCTTTTTTATAATTTTGACTGCCAATTTAATTGCAGGATGAGCTGACTTTGGTATGCCAGAATAGGGTGTGGTTCACATTTGACTGTAGTCATTGACTAAAAGCATTAAAGCATGAATGCATATGAATCAGTCACTACTTCACATTCATATAGGTTTACCACTCTAAAGAGGACCAGTAAGCATTCCGACATTTATCAAATAACCACATAAATTAGTATAGTGAACCAGTTTAAGACATACTTGCATAAAGGCTATACAGAAAAAGACATGCACTACTACACTCACACACTATGTAGTAAGATGGAAAAGGCCTACCTCTAACAGAAGTGCTTGCTGTCTGTAGCTGTTGTGCTCTGTGTCTTCTGTCCTGTGCACGCTGCCTGAAGATGCTGAAGTGAAGCATCCATGCAGCTCAGGGCGGGGCCGGGCTCACACATGCTCTCTTCTGGCCCACGGGGGCCATTATATAGACACGCGTCACAGGGAGGTCTCGGGAGATGTGCCAGTGCGACACTGTGACAGATGTGACTGGATAAGTGCTGAGCCATATGTTAACATCAAGGCTGGTTACCTACTGGTTTCTAAAGATACGCAACAAATAAAGACCATATTATTTAGACTGGATGTAGAGGTGGTCATTATGGTGGTCATTATCACCATACAACAATACTTGTTTTAGCTATAATAACATTATTAGATAACAAATAAACAAAGTCACTCTTATAGCATAGAATACCAGTACTGAAGAAACACAGATTTATTAGCTTCATTAAAGGGCCTCATTTTTAAATATATATAATAAAAGATTCCCGTAGTATGTAAACACTGGTAAAGTTTCCAATACGTTCACTCCTCAGTCCATTCAGTCCATACATGAAAACTAAGCTGCCTGTAGTGAATGTACTGTTTTTGTGATGTCACAAAAAACAACACATTTACATATATCCACCTATTCAGCCTACAGCAGTTTAGCCCCACCCGTTTACAATAAAGTTATAAAAAGGGTTCCAACCCAGACTATTTCTTGAAAGATGGCAGTCAATCAGAGCAGAGCTGATTTGCATATGCATACATATAGTAATATACAAGTAAAGATGTTACTGTTACACTTTATAAAAGACTGCTTTAAAACAGCACAGTGGAGATTTGCCTGATTCATTCAACTGACACACAAGCCATGAATACAGTATAAGATATTGTTCACTGTGATATATTTGGAAAATATTGTGATATTTATCACCTGGCACAACATATGTAATTCTCCTTATTTTTAAGACATGCTATGCTAGCTGAAGGATCCTGAAACTCCAGGAGAACATTTTAATAATGGTAGCAGTCATTTCTAAGGCTCGCCAGCATCAGTAATGGTGAGCCAGGCCGAGTCCAAATTAGATTATGCACATTAGTGCTGCAGATAGAGGCTGCAGCTTCTACCCAACAGAGCACCACAATGTACAACACAATGTACAATACGGAAGATGAAAAGCAACTCATCATCTGATTTTCTCAATAAGTGTTTTTTCGTGACATGTTGGGAGCTCATATTGTTGCTGCATTTAGGCTCTGTTAATATTTATATTTATATATATATATATATATTTCATTAGCATTAGCATTCTCTCAATAGGTTTCTGTCTCTCTCTCTCTCTCTCTCTCTCTCTATATATATATATATGTGTGTGTGTGTGTGTGTGTGTAGCCCCTTTCACTTGTTCCTGTCCATTCATGGTTTTGTCTTCATTGGCGTAACAGGCTGGAAGCTGTGGACCGAGTTTCTCATCCAAACATTAGGCCACGCCCAGACAATTCTCAGATAGAGCTGATCAGTGTTTTCTATGCCATGTTCAATTATATTTCTGTCTTATTCTTTTCATTTTTGATTGATGTTTATAACACTCAATTTTAGTATCATACAAACAAGTTATTATGTTACTAATAGGTAATGCCTGTCCACATATGTGATGGTCTGTCCCAAGACCGGGCAACCAATTAATTTCCTTCAGCTCTAGACATTTTGAACATAATTTGGTGTATCTCATTTCTTCTTCTTTAATATTTTATAAATAATACTTCACAAATTAACATTTATCTAGGTTATGTACATTTTTGGTTTTCAAGTTTTAAATGATAGTAAAACAATATTGTCAAAAATTATATTTATATATAGGAAAAAAATATGTTAACTATGCTACCTGTCAACATATCAACCCAGTATGGTTGACTGTTAATATGTTCAGTCAACTGTTACTCATGTCAACTAGGTTACTGTGACTGTCAACTTGCACAGCCCTTCCTACAAAAAATGATATTTTTACCTGATATTAAAGGGCCCATGTCATGGAAAACAGAATTTTTGTAGCTTTAATAAAAGTGTATTAAAAAAATGTAGTACACAAACACAAAGTTTCAAAAATACTATTCGCTCTCCAGTCGATACAGTCGATATATGCAAACTAAGCTGCAAAAACAGCTCTTTGTAAATTCACTGTTTACCAATGCATTTCAATAAATCTGCCTATTCAGCCTACGTAAGCTGTATGCAGCATACAACTATGTAAATGACATTCGTTCTGATTGGCTGCCCTGTATTATACCTCATCAAAAAGCAGTACGGGCTGAAATATGGCTCATAACTTATTTCAGGCATATTTCATGTGGGGAAAATATGTGCAAAAGTTATGGCACATTTTATATTTTATGTTTTTTTCCTCCAATATGTTAATTTCAGCAAATAACTAGAAATTGTGCCACATTTGTTTCCTGTAGAGGATGTGTTGACTTATTTTTACTTTCAAACTCTTGCATATAATTGTATATATATATATATATATATATATATAAATATATCACTGTTGTCTTGTATCTCCAAAATGGTAACTTTACAGGAGGAGAAAAAAAATACCTTACTTTTAATGTAAGTCAAAGGAACCGGACATTTTTCCAAGTAATTTTGGGCCCTTTCTTTTGGTCCATTCATCATGAAAGTAATGCACAACGTAAAAGGCAACAGGCATTTTCAAATTATGACAAAAACTGAAAAACTACAAAAATGGAGATATGAGGTTTTGTTCAGACAGCAGCGATATATTAGTCTTAAAGGCAGAGTAACAAAGACATTGTGTTTAGTTGTAAGGGTTGAAGACAGGTTGGAAAATGGTCATGTAAAAATCAATTCTGACCGGTTTTGGTACATAAGCCCACACAAATTTTATGAGTGGACTATATTATATAATAGAAATATAATACTTGGAAAACTAATTGATTAAAAAACATAAAAACACATTCTTGTACCTTTCGCATGATGTCAAATGTACCCTAACTACAGAATGCTGCAGTATTCTGTGCATGATAAAAGAACGTGTGCATTCCAGCATTAAGCTTCTGCTAATTTAGAACTGAGTGATTGTGTGCCATTGGTGAGCGGCTGAAAGGTCACTCTGGTAGTTAAGAGAGTGAGATCACAGCTGGAGGACCGAGTCCAGGCCTCTAATCAAATGTTAATAAACAACCAAGCGATTCCTGCAGCAAGTGGCTCAATACTTCCATCCTACACATACAAGCGTGTGGGTAGATTAAATCAAAAGGTCAGCCGTGACATATGTGTTACTGTGAGTAAACGGAGTCGACTGGTCGGCTAATTTAACTGCAACAATTCGAAACAAATCTCTGCCCACTGAGGGTGTTTATAAGCCAGTTATAAATCTATAGAGAGCACTATCGAAAAAAGAAGCTCAGAGGTTGATATAAAGTTCTTATCCAGAGACATGGAGTTAAAAGTTGGTAAGATCACTGATAAACTAAAGTGAATGGTAGGAGACCACCCTTCATTTAATTTCCTGTCAAAACGGTCATTAAGGTCATTAACTTTTCAATGTCAGGAAAAAAGTAGAACACACATTTACCAGAATATTACACAAAAGCCTAAACAACTAAACATATTTTTTAATATTTAGTGTGCCCACTTTATTACAGCTTCCATTCTTTTCAGGAGACTTGCTTTCAGTTTTTCAAAGAAATGGGATATTCTTCTAAAGTTCAGTCTTGGAAGTTGGTTTCAATGATAATTCAATAATGTTGAGGTTTTCTTTTTGCAAGGAAATTTTTCCTCTTCCTTACATAAGTGGATTATCTTCTAATCTATTCAGAAACATCCCCTGAAAAATGAATAACTTGTACTTAATGGCGGTTTTGACTGGAAATTTGAAGGATGGTCTTTGACTTTTGCACAGTATGATGTCAGTTCATGAGCCTAAATGGGTCATGTGGTCATTAATAACACACGTTTCATTATATGGTCATAAATGCTTCAATGTCTTTGCAATGTGTATACATACATATACACACATATATAAAACCATATATATGTAAATCCTATACAGACAAATGACTGCCAATAAATTGATATAAAGAGGTTTTATTTCCTTAATATACTTTGATTAAAAAGGCACAGGAGACCAATATAATAGACCAGCATAACAATTCTGTCAAAAATGAAGCAGCTTTTATCAGAGAACTGAGCTACACAGCGTTGAAAAGTAAACAGAAACAAGTAATAAAAAAAGAAAAGAAAAAACACTGTGAAGGCACTGAGGAACCAGGTTTTAAGGTTTGGCGTTTTTCCTTTCTCTCCACAAGTCCTCTCTCCTTTTTCTCCTCTTGTTCTTGTCTTCGCAGCATCACACCTTTGAGGACAAATAGGTGGAGAGGGTTTGGCAAAAGGAACCGGGGTCAGGAACATGCCACTTGGCAATAAAACCGCATATTTTGGCTCACACCATGGTGGTCAGCTTGTCTATGAGATCATCGATGGTATAGACCATGAGCTTGATGTCGTCCTTCTCGGCCATGCGATGCTGGCCGTGGCGCCGGAGGATGATGTCCACGTCGGCGCTCAGCACGCGCTCAGCTACCTGCATGGAAATGTGCCAAGGCACGTCCTCATCTTTCAGGCCGTGGATGAGGCGCACGGGGCAGGTGATGGGGATGGGGCTCTGCAGGATGCAGTGGTTCTCCGCCTCCTTCAGGAAGTCCATGCTTACCGCATAGATACCCTCTTCATTGCTTTTTGTCGGGATCGTCCAAACGCCCTTGTCTTCAAACTCTTTCCTTGCCTGATGTGCGGGGAACAAAAGCAACAACTTTAGGAAGAAGTGTAAATCTCTGACCCCATGAAGACTCGATTCAGTTATGATTCTTTAGAAAACAATCCAATGAATCATGAACTCTCAGATTTCACTGGAATTTATTAGGTTTGTCACAGTTATTACATAATTGCCTGATTGCAGTTGTTAGTTGTTCGATGTGCTTGAACAGAATTCAGTTGGGTTCATTTTTAAAAGCTGATGCAAGTATGTGTGAATTAAAGAAATCAGAACAGAAATTAAGGAGAAACATCACAAGTCTTATGAAAACAGATGTTT